GACCCCGAGACCTCCCGGCACCTCCCATGGCCAGCCCCTGGGGATCACTGACTGCAGCCCAGGAAGTGACAGAGTGTTCAGGGAAGCCCCTGTGTTTCTCGTTAAGCCCACTCGGGCACACGTGGCATATGTGCATGGCATCTGCTGCCAGGGCCAGGCTGTTGGCAAAGATGCAGAATGGCCCTGTGAGTCCAGCTGCCCCAGCGTGCAACACTCTAGAGTCTGTAGGGACCATGGGACAACTCCAGGACTAGTGTGTGGCATCTGTGCTCCTTGCTTTTTCTTCTTTGTCCACTTGGCTGGTGATCAGTGCTGCCTGCAGGGCAGGGGAAAGCACCGAGCCTCATGTTTGTCCAGCACTCGCTCCATGACCCTTGGTGGCACTGGCCAGCATGTGCCCTTTGCTACCAGATAGTCACTGCATTAGGACACCTCTTGGCACTTGGAAGAATGAGGTCTTAGGTCAACACATCCACTTAATCTTAAATCTTAAATTCCATTGAAACCTTGCTAATCGGTTTTGTTGTCACTGTTTTGTAAGTGCTACAATTCCACATTTTATGCCTATTTCCATGTATGTGTTTTTACTTTTCAAAAGCTACCATCAATTTAAGATTTTAAAAACTCCTTTTTTATAGAATATAGAGTTGTTTCTTGGATATCAGATTTATCACTAAAGGTCATTTATTGTAAACCATATCTTTCGATAAGCAAACTTTTTTTTTTTTTTTTTTTCTTGAGACAGGGTCTCACTGTGTAGTTCAGGCTGCCCTTGAACTCACCGTGTAGCCCAGGCTGCCTTCAAACTTACAGTGATCCTCCTGCCTCCCAAGCACTGGGATTACAGGCATGCGCCACCATACCTGGCTTCCATGCACAACTTTTGAATCTCTATTTTCCCCATAGGTAAAAGTGAATTTATTTTCTATCTACCCGTCTGATTTTGCAAGAGATGAGATGACTAGGCAGTGATAGCACCCAGCAGGCCCTAGTATAGCACATGCATCCTCTGCCCATCCCAGCAGCACCACAGAGATGTGGACCGCCCAGCACCACAGGCCTCAGCCACCCCTTTGTTGCTCCACCCCTCCTGGCAGCCCTCACTTGTTCTACATCTACTATTGTTTGGATCTAAAATGTCCCCTGAAAGTCTTGTGTGTGGAAGGTGATCGGATCATAGGGGCACTATACTCATCAGGGGGTTCATCCATGGATGAATTCATAGCTGAATGTGCTGTTCAGAGGTGGGGCCCGGTTGGAGGAGATGATTCACTGGGGGTGTGACCTGGAAGGGTGTATTCTTGGCCCAGTCTTCCTTTCTCTCTCTCTCCTGCTTTCTAGTTGCCATGGGTTGAACAGCTTTCCTCCCTGGTGCCTTGAAGCACCAGCCAACCATAGACTGAACTCTTTGAAACAATGAACCAAATAAACCTGTCCTTTAATTTGTAGGTGTCAAATGTTTTATCGCAATGGAAAAGCTAACTAATGATCTCTGTTGTGTCGCCTTGGAGTGTTGTGGAGTGGAATCCCATAGTGCGTGGCCCCAGCCTTGGCCTTCTTCCTTCCATGATGCCCTGAGATTCAGCAGGTCCTGAGGTCTCAGCAGCTGCTTCTTCTCATTGCCCAGTAGAAGTCCATGCTGTGGAAATGCCATGTGTGTTTAACAATTATCAATAGGAAGTTTAGGTCGCTGTGTCAGATGAGGGACATGAGGCAGGAAACCGCCAGGATGCAGCCTTCCTATGTGCTGGAAGCGCTGCCTGAGTCCTACGATCCATTTGCTTGAACTTTCTCCTGTGCAGGTCCTGGGAGGCAGAGGGATGCTGTGTTCCCTTGGCATTCCTCTAGTGGACAGAGAACTCACAGGGCCAGAGCTGGGTGTGGGGAGGTGTTTTCAAATCTATTCATTCTATTCCACATCTCTCTCACAGTGCGAAAGATCTGCAGAGCTGATTGGGACATTTGTCAGCCCAGAAGTATCTCTGAAGCTGATCTTATCAATGCTGAAGAAGGCACCCTCCTCTTGTAGCCTGTTGGTTCTTGCTTCCATCATTCGAGGCTGCCCACGAGATGCCCTCCAGCCACACCTCAAGGTCATCACCACAGAGCTGGCCCAGGCATACATCTGCCAGGCATCTGAAAATGTAAGATGGTGCAGTGAAGGATCAGCATACAGGTCACAGCCTGGGTTAGGGGTAGGAGGTATCCCTGCTGGCATCTGAGCCTAACTGCTGATAGTCAGGGGCAGCAGCATCCACACCAGGCCCTCAGGCCCATCAGTTGCATCTGCTGTACCCAGGGTGCTGGCACCAACATCCCGGGCTTAGGGACCCGACCTTCTGCTCTGTCCAGTACTATAGCCACCAGCCAGATGGCCAATTTGTTAAAATTGAGATTTCCTTTTCTTAGTCACTTTGGCCACCTGGCAATTAGCCAGTTGCCACATGTGGGCAGTGGCAACTGTTGGACAGTGCATGACAGACATACCCATTGCCGGGAGAGTCTCTGGATGGTGCTGCCTTGGGTGGTCACAGGCTAGAGAGGTCAGTGGCATGGTGGAGGGAACCCTGGTCCCCAGCCCTGAGAGAAGGGGACAAGTCTGTCCACGCTGTGCCTGGTACACCCAGAGCAGCCTCAGTAATGGACGAGAGCACATGCTTTATCAATGTCACTTGGCATTTGAATAATAAGTGTGAAATAACTGACCTGATAACATGCCAAAAAGCTTGTTTCCTCTTAAAGTAAGCAGTGAATCCATTACAGCTGACACTAAGGCAACCTAGGTCGTCAGTTTAATCATTTGGAATAATTTATAATTATTTCTGCTGAAGACAAAGTAATGGCTGTTTTGTTTGGATATGTCAGGCCTGCCCTGTCTACTCCCACATCTCACATCTCAGATCCTCCTGTTGGCCAACCAGGCCAGGCCTCCACCTTGGGCTAGCTGCTCCCACCCACACAGAGGTGCCCGCAGGTGCCTTGTGGTCCAACCTGACATCTTCCAGAAGCTGTTGGAGCCACAAAGTGGCCTGGAGGGAGGGCAATGGCAGGGACCCCTGTCTGGGCCCATCTGTCCCCAGCCTGAGAGGCATACAATTCACACTCACACTTATAAACCATGTTAAGAAACCTTTAAGGAATTTTTGGGGCTGGAGAGCAGAGGCCTCCGGAGGGAACAGGCACAGGTCACCGCTCCTGGTGTTTTTAGCCACATTTTAGTTTTTTCCCCAAACCCCTTCTTAACATTACCCCCAGTCAGCATGAGTTTAGCAGTGTTGCTCCTGAGTGGTTCTAAGAAGGATTTTGATTCCTCCATTTGGATTTGAAAGCCGGAAATGTTCTAAAAGGTGTAACCTGAAAATCTGCAAGTGTTTATATGTGTATCTTACAAACTGAATGACAAAGCAAGTGTTGTCATTTCCCTTTGTTCCTTTTGGTTACATAGAACCTGGCTTTCACTGCTGACGGGCTCAGGACTCCTCATCTTCCCATTTGGCTCTTTACCTTTCTGTTCTGTTGAGCAAGAGCTCACTCAATGGCCTTTTAGGCAGAGCAAGACCCTTCCTGACAAGGCTGGTGGCCCCACTGTGCCAGCTTTCATCTACCAGGGTTCAAGCATGTTCTGGCTTGGAGGCCAAGGAACCAGCCATGATAAAAACCCAGGATGAACATTTGCCCCTTTCTTGACAGACTTAAGTGTTTGGCAAGAAAAGACAAATACATTCAGGTCAAAGTCATTGCTGTGCATATCTGCCTGCAGCGGGTGGCACTCACCTGTTCTGTCTGCATCTGGTCACTTGGGAAGGCATTTGCATCTCCTACCACTATTCTGTGGCCAGGCAAATGGGTTAAGAATGTCTTTCAAGAATAAACTAAGGGCCGGGAACATAGATCAGTGGCACAGCGCCTGCCTGGCAAGCACAAGGTCCTGAGTTCGATCCCTGAGGCCAGAAAAAAATAAAGAACAAACTAAAAATTTTAAAATCCCATGTTAAAACAGAGACCCATGCAGATGCATCTTTTGCTACAGATCTGCTTGGTGTGGCTTCATGGGTGGCAGGGGGTAGCAACGGTATTTCCCAGGTGTTGAGCCAGGCTGCACATCTCTAGCACTTTACCTGGTTGTTAACATGTCGGGTAATGTAGTGTCAGAATTGAGAAACACTGAGCACTACTTCCTACTGTGTCTCTACCCTTTGTGTGTCTGTGTGCAGGCGAACCCTAACCATCCCTTGATCAGTAGGCAAAGCCGCAGGTGTCACCGTCCTACTGTTTTGCAGAGTCGTGGCCATGGGCATATGGCAAAGATGATTGCTGTAAGGGCACACAATTTTTTGTGGTCTTTGGTTTGGGTCTATAGTGAGATAACTCTGCCAAAGCTCAGAGGGCACATGTCTTTTAAAAGTGCATTCCCTTTTATTTTAATTGAAAAAAAGGATAGCTTTTTAAATTTATATTATGAGTCACTTTAGATGTTAGCCAACATCTACAGAAATCTTAGTCAGTCCAGGCCAAAAAAAATCAGGCTGTGGGGACAGTCAGGATCAGAATAAAAGCCTAAGTCTGTGGCTTCTCCTGGGAGTGGGGTTGGGGCTGTCTGTGCATCAGGGTGAGGTGGAATCGGGAGTTATGCAGTATGACTTCTCTTTAAATGTCAGTGATTGGGCCAGGGATTTAGCTCAGTGGTTCTGCCGCCTGCCTCACAAGCTCAAGGACCTGAGTTCGATCCCTGGTACCAAAAAAAATTTTTTTTAAATAAACATCAGTTGTTCATGTCACTGGTGAGTGAGTCACACAATTTCAGAACTGATTCAGAAATTTAGAACCAATCCATTATCTAGCCAAATAATTATCACGTTTTTTTGAACTCATATCTCTAAATTAGTAAAAAGAGGTTTGAGCATTTGCTTCCAGTTTACATCCATGGTTTTGTTTATTAATCATGTTTATATATTACGTATGACTGTTGTCTCGATTCATTCTGTACTTCATAAAACATGTAAAGTAGTCAGGTTAGAGGGGCATTGTAAGCAGTGCCTGTAATGAATACAGTGAAGCCAAGATGGAATCCGCTGAACCAGTACAGCCTTTGGTGCCCCCCTTAACCAGTAAGCATTTTTTGAAATGTAAAATTTTATTTATTTTTCTTAAAGCTGAGGCACATAGAGATATTTAAAATGCAAAAAGCAGGAAAAAATTATAGACTGTCCCTCCTAGTACCTGTCACCCACCTCCTATTTCCAGATCTTTTTCATTTTTGTGCTTTTTCCTCATACCACTTTTTTTTTAACAACTTTTAAGCATTTCACAAAATGGCTGTGGATCCTGAATTCCCAGTCTACATCCAATTTCCCTGTTGTCTAAACAGTTCCCTTGTTAAGGCTGATCACTCAGCGTGCAGTGGGCCTGGACATGGCATGGTGGCTCTTCCAGTTCCTGTTGTGCAGGTAGACCCTGTGCTTTGGGGATTTGGGGTGAGGAGCACTGACCATCACTGGTCTCTTCCAGGACCTCTACCTGGAGCGCCTGCTGCTCTGCGTCCAGACCCTGGTGTCTGTGTGTCAGGAGGACTGCAGCGTGGCCAGCCTGCAGCTCATGGAGGTGCTGGTGACAGTCATGGCTCTCTCGGGTGCCACTACCCTTGGGAACAAGGTAAGGCTAGTAGAATCTCCCTGTCACTGTGATCTCTCTGTGACGGAAATGTAACTGTCTTCTTTAAATCTCCTGTGCACTTGAATTTCAGGCCTCAGGCGTACCTGACTGGCAAAGATGAAAGAATGTGGAACATTTGGGATGAGTCATTCATGAGGTGGCCTCAGGGTGTCCTGCCATCTGCAGATGTACCCTAGTGTCTAGGAGTGAAGGCTCTTTAATCTTTGAGCCTGTGGCAAGCAAAGAAGAAACAAGGCTGTCATAATCCTTAAGCCTGTCTGTATCAGTGGTTTAAAAAATGCACACCTCTGTGCGGCTGAAAGTCTGGAGAGGAGGGCAGTGATTTTCCTGCAGTAATTGTAGCACAGCTTGACAAAATTATTTTTATCCCTTGGCTCTGTTTATGCCTAAAAATCTCCCGAGCTGCCTTCTCTATGGGCTCTGAGGACCACCTGGGACCCGAGGTGCCCAGGATGTGCTTCTCCACCAGGGCCATTTTGTGTGGAAGACAGGGCAGCCGTGGGCCGAAATTCAAGGAGGCTCACTGCTCTCCCTCTTTTGGGGGAGGGTTCTTTATTTGTAGAGTTTTTTGTTGTAGAGGAATTTTGTTGTGTGTGGTATTGAGGCTGGAACCCAGGGCTGCACTACTGGTAAGCTACATCCTTAGCCCTTTTGTTTCTGTTTGTTTAAATTTTGAGACAATATCTCAGTAAGTTGCATAGGCTGGTCTCAAACTCAAAATCCTCCTGGCTCAGCTTCTCAAGAGCCTGGGTTACTGTCATGTGCCACCATGCCCAGCTTCTTGAGGCCTCCTTAAACCTTGTTTTATTTCGCTCTTTGAAAGCAACTTTTACAAAGGGGATGTTTTTGTAGAGTTTGTCATTGATAGCCATAAATAATAGCAAAGTGGTGCCTGTGAGCGGCAGAAAGGAAGCTAAGTATCAGGTAACAGACGGGTCTGCAGAATAGAGGCCACTGGGCAGCTGCCACCAGGGAATTTCAAGGACTTGCTACTATGTTTTAACCCCAGGGAGAAAGGCACAGATTAATGGGTAGCTGGCAGCTTTGTAGTTAGCCATACCTCACCCCAGTGTCACCAGCCAGCATGGGTCCTGGCTTCAGTGACAATGGAAGTTAAAGCAGGAAACATCACAAATTTGCAGCCAGAAGCTTTGATTGGAAAGTTTATTATAGAGAAGACACACAGCTGGCTGTCCGTAGGCAGCCCCAGGGGTGACAGGAGGAGAAGCTCCCAACAGGATACATTTCACTTTTATGGGGTCTCAAAGGAGTTGCATTAATTATTCATGGATTTTTCCAAAAGGTGCGGGGGTCATTGGACAGGGAAAAATTTAGTTACTTCACGGATGTGTTTGCATATGGTCCAAAATGTGCTTAGCAATATGTTATGGCCCCATCGGGATGGAGAGTTTATTATGGAAATGCATGATAATGAAGGGATAATGAAGTTCAGGGTCAGTTCCCAGATAGGTCTGTCTCTGTTCTGCTTGCTTTAGTCTAACCCAGTCACCTGCACATCCCACTTCTTGGTCACTTAGTTGACAGCATGACTAACTTTATTCTGTCACCAAAAGCTGCCCAGCCTGCTTGTTCTCTCTCAGGCTGCTACTTCTGTCACATTGTCCCCTCCAGAATCATCTGTGGAGCTCTGACTGGGGTAGGAGAGCTGAGCACAGGAGGGCGGGGTTGGGCTTTGGTGACAATTGGCTCAGTCTAATTCCTTTAAACTCCTTGGCCTGTCAGAGCCTGGTCAGCGCAGGTCGGGGTCACCTTCAATCTGTGCAAACCCAGAAACCACTGGTGCTGCTCCATAATTGATGCCTGTGTGTCTGCTTTATTACTTGTTGTAAGGACAGCATTGACAGCGTGATGGGAATCAGAATTGAGCAGGATCTGCTGAAGTGCTGGCCTTCAGGTCAAGTCTTCGGGTGTTTCTGTCTTACAGTGCTCCCCTCCTGGCTAAATGTTCACATTTAACCCAGTTGTTCAAGCAGGTGAAGGGCCTTGGATGATAAGGTCTCAAAAATTGGAATTGTCAAAAAAAAAAATTAGAATTGTCAGCCAGGGGTAGTGGCACACTCCTGTAGTCTCAGCGCTCTGGGAGGATTACGAATTTGAGCCCAGCCTAGGCAACTTAGCAACTTGGTAAGACCCTGTCTCAAAATTTTAAAAAACTTAAATGGCTTGGGGATGGTGCTTAGTGGCAGAGTACTTGGAGGCCTTGGGTTCAATCCCTAGTACACCCTGCCCCCCTAATGGAATGGTCCCAATGTTTGAATTGTGTCTTGCAGGCTCAGGAGACCATGGAGTCACTGGCCATGGTGGAGAACGTCCCCAGCAGTCAAGACCTCTACCGAAAGCACATGGGTCCTCTCCTGGAGCGGCTGACTGCCTCACACAATGACTGGACTGCACACTCCGTGGAGCTGCTGCAGTTCTGTGAGGTTGTCACCCGATCAGGTGAGCCCCAGGCAGCCCTCAGTCCTCAGCCTGGCCTCATCCATGGTGCCCCTGTCCTACCCACGTATCTGTTCCACCACAGGGAAACCAGGGTGCAGCATGCTCCACCGCTGCTCACTGAGGTGTGTTTCAGAAAGTGATGAGAGGGAGCACCCCAAGGCACAAGGGCTGGAGTGGTGGCTCGTGTGAGTCATTCTTCAGGGCTGGCCCCGCACACAGCATGTGCAGTGACTTAGGAATCAGGGTGCGTCATGGCCTCTCTTGTAGCCTGTATTCTTCAGATACATCTGGGTTTTAGTGTGGAATTTCATATTTCCAGCTGCTTGGCATTGCGAGTGTGTGACACAAGAGGCTTTGGCCTCTGAGACCTCTGCATTTCTGTCTGTTCTCCCAGAGCCGGCAAACTCTGGCTCTTTCCTGAGGTCGACAGTGTTGCTCATCACTTCCTTCATTATAGGTGCAGGGTAGTGAGCCTCTCACAGTTTTGATAAGGCCTTTATTTCCCCCCAGTGCTGGGGCTGAAACCCGTGGTACATGCTAGCCTAGCATAAGTGCTCACCACTGAGCTGTACCTCAGCCCTTGACAGGGTCTTCATTACAGAAGTTACAATGAGTCATTAGGTGCATCCTGTACTTTTCAAGTGACTGGGTCTTGTCCAACATGTTAGTCTTTCCTTGGTGTGCCAGATCCAGTAGTCCTTTCGCACTGTCCCCTTGTCACCTCTGCATCATCCCACCACCTCTTTGGAGGTATAAAGTGTTGGTACTGTGCTCCAGAGCTAAGGATGCATCTGTGGTTAATAGCTAGGTTGTGCCCAGGACTCTGAGACCTAGCAAGAAATCCAAAATTGCTCTTTGTCAGTTGTGTACAGAACTGTTTCCAGAATAGAACAGGGAGGGCTGAGGACTGAGGGTCGCAGCAGCAGATGTCTCTGCAGCTCCCTTCCCTACCTGCTTCATAGACCAGCTCACCACATCTCATTGCTGTTGTGCATGGCAGGAGCTGTTAACCCCGTTTCACAGGTGGGAGACCCAGGGCACAGGGCTTATTTAAAATTACTTAAAAATAATTTTTTAAATATGAGGATTTTTTAAATAGCTTATTTACCAAAGGCCTATAAGAGGATAAATTTATCTGTAAGACATTTAAAACTTCCAAAAAAGGATGGGGGTCTACAAAAATAGGTTTGAGTGATCTTCATTTGAAACCAAATAATAGAAAGATAGACCTGGGGAAGTATTCACAGTGAATCCAATAGCATCAGGTCTTTCTTACAAAAAGCTCACATAAAATAAGGGTAAAAACATTAACCCCAAACAGTCAGGGTACCTGGATTATATAAGAAACTGTTAACATAGCTGGCAAGCAAACAGAGTTGGAAAGTATTCATTCAGCCTTCCTAATAATACAGAAATATGAGTTAGAAACTTTGAGTATGATTTCTTTTCTTTTTTTTTTTTTTTTGGTACCAGGGATTGAACTCGGGACCTTGCGCTTGCGTGGCAGGCGCCAGAACCACTGAGCTAAATCCCTGGCCCATGATTTCTTTGTCTATGGAATAAGACTGAAAATAACAAGCTTGTCCCAGGGCGATCAAACTGGGAGCCTTGGGCCCTGCCATGGAATTCCATGCGAGCATTCCTTGTGGGAAGCAGCTGGGCAGTGCATCTATAATTCTCAGCCTGTTCATAGCTGTCTACTCAGCAGTCAGATAGATGAGACTCTATGCTAAGGAAGTGATCCTGATGTGGAAAAAGCTCTGTGCCCAAAGTATTCAACAGGGCATAACTTAATAGCAAAATTGGAAGTGACCCAGATGCCTAGCAAGAAGTTAAACATGTAAGGGCATTTCCACAGAAAGATGTCCTGGCCACTGTTAAAAATGACCACCCTGAGGGCCAGGGATTTAGCTCAATGGCACCATGCCTGCCTTGCAAGCACAAGGTCCTGAGTTCAATCCCTGGTACCAAAAAAAAAAAAAGACCACCCTGAGCAGGAGGAAAATGTTCGTAGTACAAGGCAAGGGGGAAGACAGCAGACAGCAGTGGAGCTTGTATGCTCCTTGTGAGGGGAACTAGTACTGGGGGCAGGGGCCCATGGGCTCTCAGTCTTTGTTTTGTTTAGTTTTGTTTTTTAACTTTCTTTTTTTTTTTGGTACTGGGGATCAAACTTAGGTCCTTGTGCTTGCACAGCAGGTGGTGAAACCACTGAGCTAAATCCTCAGCATAACCTTAGAGACTATAAACGTTCTTTTTTTTTTTTTCTGTTGGTACTGGGGATCGAACTCAGGACCTTGCACTTGCGAGGCAGGCAGCGGAACCACTGAGCTAAATCCCCGGCCCTTGTTTTTTAACTTTCTTAATACCAAGTGGCCCACCTCACAGACCCTACCAGAGACCCCCGGGGGGCTGTCAGCATGGAAGGTGTATGATCCTTCCCTTCCCATATTCTAGCAGCCCATTGTGACCCAGGACATGATGCTGTTTTCTATATTTAGGCCAGGAAATGTAGCTTGTTTCCATTATGTTAAAATGGAGAGAGAGAGAGTTTAAAAGGCAGGAATGATTGCAGAGATAATGGCTCTTGTAGCAGGGCGGACCCGGTCCTAGGGCCATGGTGCCATGCTGGACTAGGCCACATCTGAGAGGACATCAGAGCAGCACTGTCTCAGGGCCTGTCTGTCTGGCGTTGTAGGAGGCCTTACAGGGCCCCTCCAGACCCCAGCTATCCCCACCCACAATGGATACAGAGAGGCCCTCACTGCTCAGCTTGACCTCCATTTCAGAGCAATGTGGGGTGCTAAGTGTGCCTGCCTCTGGACAGAGTCTGCCTGAGTAAACAGCTCAGACAACAGGTGCTTCCAGTGGGGGAACCCCCCTACCCAGGGATTTGGGGAGGAATGAGGCCCAGTTAAACTTCATGTGACCCCAGGCGCTCTCTAGCTCTGCCACACTCATGGTTTCATGGACGTGGTCAGAAAGCGGACTCTGCTTTCAAATTCGCCTCAGGTCCCAGAGCCTCCCCTCAGGGCTGCATCCCCATCTCAAGCCCTGAGCTCCTAGGCCTGCCCATCCATGCCTGGCAGGGATGTGTGTGTGTGTGTGTGTGTGTGTGTGTGTGTGTGTGTGTGTGTGAGACTCTACACAACCAGCAGCCACTTGGGTGTGACTCACTGAGATTTGGAGGCAGGAAGGATAAGGGAGGGCCACCAGGCTCCTCCAGGTCAGACGCTGGGCATACCTCCCGCATCTGCTGTGGGGGACTGTTAGGAGGTCAGCTAGCTTTGGGTGGATGTTTCGGGACATCTCACAGATGACAAAGGCGGCCTAAGAGTCCAGAAGCCAGGCCCAAAGCTGCAGTTCTACACTGATCTTTGAGTTTTGGGCTTACCCTGTCTGCAGAACATATTTCGCTGGGTATATTTTACTTTAAAAGGCAATTCCTAAAAAGCAGTACTTTTCAAACCAGGAGTATTGGCTGCCCCTGGTCTGGGAGGCTGTGGCCCAGGGCGTGGTGCCTTCAGAGGCGGTTGGCACACTCCAGAGGACCAAGAGAGAAAGGCCAGCTACGTTAGAAACGGCCTGTTCCTTGGTCTCCCCCACACTGACTCAAGCCTGGAAGGCAAACCTAGGCCTGGCCAGGATCAATGTCATCAGTGAGCTATGCCAGTAACATAGACCGGACACATTTGTGTCTTTCCACAATGTCAGAATTTATTAAATAACAATAAATTCACAAGCTACATCAGTTTCATCAGCCCTGTCTGGCTGAGTCCACTCTTGGTAGCCAGTGAGTTGGGCAATCATAAGTTCTTTTATTCCAGTCTTAATTAGTAATATGTGCAACACTCAATCCACACGTCATGCTTCATAATTTAATACGTAGGGTACAGAACAGCAAGGAAAGGGTTAAGAGCAGCTGTAGCATTGGAAGAGACAGGACCGAAACCAAAGGCTGAGAGTCTGCAGGGATGTGAAGAGTTACCATGGGTGGCTGGATAAAATTGCAGACCAGGGCCAGGGATTTAGCTCAGTGGTGCCGCTGCCTGCCTCGCAAGTGCAAGGTCCTGAGTTCGATCCCTGGTACAAAAAAAAAGGATTGCAGACCAGGCCAAGCTGCTTTGAGGCCTGGGGTTTGCTGAATGTGCAGAGGTGTTTGGAGCCCAAGTCTGGGCAGCAGACAGTTTGGGCTGCACCAAGCATGGAGATAAAGCTGAGCTGAAAGCAGGGACCAAGGGCCTGACAACTCATGACGCCCTTGCCAGGTGGTCTGATGAGATGACAGATCAGTATGTGTTGTTGCCACTGTACCCTAGTATTGAGTACCCCTCCTATATGAGCCAGGTGAGGGGTCTCAGTGTTCCTTGGTCTCGTATGTCTAGTAAGTTTGTGGTCCTGGTTTTCTGTGATATAACTGATATGTGCCCCCTGATGTAATTTGGTACATTTACAGGTGGTAATTTTTTGTTAAGCAAGATTAATTTACATGTCAGTTTGTGCCACAAGGTTGCTCTGTGCAGCTGAGGGTTGTTCTTTTTGCCAAGTTTGGTGTGTTCAACATCTGGTGGTTTTCTCTTTGCACAGATGAGTGACCAAGTCTTCTCACCTAAGCATTTGCACTCCAGTGGCACAAACTGCTGTTCTATGAAACAGAGTCACTCAAGGCAAAGCACAGCCTGGAACTCACTGTTCTGTGCAACATGGAGGCACTCACAGCAAGGCACAACCTGCCCTACACAACCAAACCACGTAGATAGTAGGGACTGGCTTCAGGGAAATGCTGCCAAGATTTTGCTTGTAGTGTTATTCTTTCTAACTTCCCGGGGTGACTTCCTGTTTGAAAGTGTAACTTTTGGGCTGGGGATTTAGCTCAGTGGTTTCGCCACCTGCTGCACAAGCGCAAGGACCCGAGTTCGATCCCCGGTACCAAAAAAAAAAGAAAGTGTAACTTGTATGTGTCTGTCTTTTCACCTGAACGCATCCTATTCCACATCCCAGAGGGACAGCTCCGAGACAGACAGTGGCTCTGCAGGTCCACACCTGCCATTGCAAAGCCTGAAACACTCCTTGCCAGATGCCACTGCTAACACCATGTCAGGCTTTGTGTCAAGAGCCCCTGAGGCATGTCCCCTGCATTTTTATACCATAAGTAATGACAGACCAGAAGCACTGCAGTTTTGAGGAATTTTTTTGTCTTTGTTTTTATTGGTATGTGCCTGGTCCAGGCTTTAAATATAAAAAGTACTCTACTTAGTCACCATTTGTAAAGAATAGCTGGTAAACTGCCCAAGTAGAACCATTTTCTACTCATGGGAGGCCGTGAAGACACTATTGAAATGCACGCTTTGATTTGTGCATCTTCTCTCTTTTCCTTTGTGACTAAAACTCTTCAGTCTCGGGAATTTGATGTTTATTCCTGAATGCTTGTTCTCATCTCATCAGACATTTGCAGGCCTAGGTCATTTTTTTCCATGTCAGTAGAGTCTGAGCAAACCCCTGGTGCTCACCATGCTGGGGATCCCGCACTTTGGTACAGCCATTTTTTTCTCATATCTTAGTGTGTTTTGTTTGTGTTTCTTTTTCTTTCCCCACTCCCCAGGCCCACGTGCAGCTTCATCTGACTGAGGCTGCCCTGCCTTGTTTTGCAGGTGTGGAACACATTTGGTTTGAGACACCATATTTTATCTTTCTTTTTTTTTGGTACTGGGGATCAAACTTGGGTCCTTCCGCTTGTGAGGCAGGCGGCGGAACCACTGAGCTAAAGCCCCGGCCCGAGACACCATTAAAAGAGCAAAGGTTTAGGTTGCTTGGCTTGTTCTCTAAATTATCACAGACGATATATATGCACCCATGTTTATAGTGGCACAGTTTGTAATAGCTAAAGCTTGGAAACACCTCAAGTGCCCATCAACTGGAAACTGGATAAAGAAGATGTGGAGGCTTTTTATAAAATGGAGTACTACTCAGCCATAAAGAACCACAAACTAGTGACATTTATAGCTAAATGGATGCATATTGAGGCCATACTCTTAAGTGAAATAAATAGGACACACGTGTAAATACCGAATAGTTTCTTTGGTATGAGAAACTGAAAGTATAAATAAGGATTAAAATGATTAAAACGAATAATTGATAAGTTGAAATAGGAAGAAAAGGTCCAAAGATGTAGGGGAAGGGGAAAGGAAAGAAGGGAAAGGAACAATTATGAGAAAATGAAAAAATGGAAACAAAGTCTATGTAAATAGGGAGGGGTAGAGGGGATGAAGAGAGGACAGGGAATGGGGAAAAAATAAGAACCAAGATACGTCATCTGCAGGTACAAGCACCCAATGATAAATATAAATGTAGTGTATACCTAAAATGTACCAATAAAAGAATTTAAGGAAAAATATTTAGAAAAATAAATTATTGAAGAATGAGCAAAGCGTGTTGCAGAGCAGATTGACTTGAGCAACTTGTGTTTCTTCTAAAACCTGAAGCGCTGTTTGTTGGCACATGGCAATAAAATGTTTTGGACCTCTAGTCTCGATCCATGGAGCATGTTTAGACACCAGAGTGGTTTTTTTCCAGCCAAAATTCGTGAGTTTCCAGATCAGTTGCCAACCAGTGACTGAAGTCTTCATGGTATGAGGCAAGCTATGTCCATTTCCTCATCTGCACAGGGGCTGCAAAGCTGCAGACACACTGTAGACAATGTATACATTTTGAACCACTGATTTTATTGATCTTTTTTTTTTTATGGTGCTTGGGAACAAACCCAGTGCCTTGTACATGACAGACAAGCACTCTGCCACTGAGCCACAGCATGGCCCTTGATTGGTCTTTAAAATATTGCTTGACTTTAGTTTTAAGAATTTAGAAAAATATAAGAAAAATAGAAACCTTACTATTGAGGGGTGAGGGACTCCAGGAGGTATCACTTTCCATTGAGAATCAATCAGAGACCAGGAGGGTGGGCAAGATGCAGTGTGGTGCGGCTGTTCAGCCCCGTCCCAAGTATTCCTGCTCCCAGGTTGGCGTCCTGCCCAGGGCCCAGGCTCCTGCTCTGGTCTACAAATGGCTGCAGCGTGTCTGTCTGTTTTCCAGGCCCCGCCATGGGAGAAGCACTGCAGCACGTGGTCCCCACCCTCAAGACCTGTCTCCAGACCACAAGAGACCCCCATATGTGCCTGAAGCTCTTCTCCATCCTCTCCAGCCTGCTGCTGAGGCCCAAGGACACCATCAACTCCCAGGGGTAGGTGGTCCTTGTGTCTGGCACAGTAAGCCTCCCTGGGTGCTGGGCAGGGCTCCCCAACTTGCCCCTACTTCTGGGTAGGGGCCCCTCTTCCTGCCTCCCCCCCACATACACACACTACTGGGTCACAGGTAGGAGCTTGAGGGCACTCATGAGCTTCTCTGTGCCCTAAGTCCTGCTACCATCTGTCCCCACTGGTAGACAGCACGATCAGAACAGTAGTGCATTGCAGAGAAATGCTGGAACAGTAAATCAAAGTCATTTTAGTGTAGTCATTAAAATTCCATTGAATGAAAAAGTTTTAGGGAACATTAACTATTAATGGTTTATATATTAGCAGTTCTCACTTTTAAAAGGCTTTTGGTACCTTTCAAACCTAACAAAGAACTGATTGAATTGCCATTGATAGTTAAGCAGAACAGATAGTCTTCTATTATCTGAAAGAACTTTTAGGTAGCATTAAAACACTTAGGGCCTCCCGTTTTACTGCTTTGAAGCAAGGAAAAAGGAACAAAGAACATGGAAGAGAAGAACAAGCCTGTGGGAGGGAGAACAGCTGTCACAGTGCCCCGAACCAGACAGGAGGTGGCAGGTGACCTGTGTGCCGGGCTGTGGATGGTTTAGAGAATTCAAGACTGCCCTGGGGAAGAGGCCCCAGCAGCTCTCAGGCCACTATTTTTCTCTATTAAATCAGCAGAATACCCAGTCACACCGGGTCCCAGCCTGAAAAGTGGGAAGGGGTGGGGACAGATGGCAAGGCTCGGCTCTCAGGACACAAACGTGGCGGCTCAGGCTCCATCGGCACCTGGGAACCCTCCTCTCCCAGGAAACAGGTCCATGGAAGCAGATGTGGCCAACAGACTACAGTTTCCCATGCAAACAGTTTGGTCATTTAAACTTTGATTGCAATTCATCTCATCTCTGCTGTTGGGCCTCTAGCCAGCCCATTAGGAAATTGTTTCCTGCTTGTCTGCAGAACTCAAGGCCAGAAGGGATCATAAAAAGGTACTAATATGAGCCTTGGCAGCAGCCCTGAGCAGGCAGACATGCATGTGGGAGATGCACGAGGCAGTGTCACTACAGAGACGGCGGCTGTCACCTCACACTCTTCCGAGCTCCAGGTCCAGCCCATTGCTGGTGCTGGCCTCAGCCATGATCTGAGACTTAAAATTAGAGGAAAGGCTTCTTATGGGAAGAAATCAGTGTCACAAGAAGTAGGTTGTTCAAATAAAGTTATTTAAGTGAAATAATTAGGTATTTTTATAGACAGGAAAGATTTAAAAAATAACATTCAGTTTGATTTAGAGGGCTTATAAAATGGTGGCATCATCAAGTGTCTGACGCTGCTGGACAGGGACACTGGAGAGGGGGACCCTGGAAGCTGGCATCTGTGCGGCATTTGAGTCAGGATTCCCTTTCCAGAGAAGAAAGCACATGAACAGCAAGCAGTACGGTGGCACTGAGCAGTGTCCTCTGCCAGCCCCTCCTCGCTTCTAGTTACCAGCTGCTGCTCGCAGGCCTAGTTGAGGCAGGACTTCTCCTGGCAGCACCATCTGGGCTTTCTGTGGGTCAAGCTGTAGAGGAAAGTTGCCACCTTTGTCCATCCTTTTTGCACTCCTACTCCTGGCAGCCTCCTGCTCTTGCTAGAGCTTGTGTTGAGACACCTCGAGGAAGCAGAGAGGACCTGGGAGGGAGGAGCCCTTGCCATGCTGCTGCCTTGGCTCCATTCCTCATTGCCAGTGAAAACTGGGAACACCTTACAGAGTCAAGTTTGTATGTAAAACTCGAATGCCGGTGAAGGTGATGCATGTGATCTTGCGAGTGGCGGCTTACTGGTTCGTCTCTCAGCAGAGTGAGCCCCCAGTGGAGGCCTGCCCAGAAGGGGCCTGTGGGATGCGTCTTCCTGACGTGGCCTGTGTTAGCAGAGCCTGCTGTGCATCTTCTGTGCAAGGAGAACTCCCTCATTGAACATATTTGTTTTATCCTGACTGCCCTCATGTTAAGGGTCTGGATGGCAGGTTCTGACACACCACAGCTGTGGGGCTGCAGCTGCCTTCCTGAAAGGCCATGTTGTCAGCACTTGGGTGCTCACCCTGAAGCCACTTTTCCAGGCCTCTTTACATGGACCCCTCAGAGATGGAGCAGGGCTAGGTCATCCCAAGGTGCCCTCTTGTGGATCACTGCAGAACATGTTGGCTCTTTGCTTAAACATTAAAACACATCGAGCTGGGAGTGAGTGCACACCTGTAATCTCAGCACTTGGGAGGCTGAGGCAGGAGGGTTGCCACAAGTTCGAGGCCAGCCTAGGCTCCATAGTGAGTTCAAGGCAAGCCTGGACTCTATAGCATGAGCCTGTCTGAAAAAAAAACAAAAAACAACCAAATAAACACATTGAGAACTTGAATCTGTGCATCATCCTAACCCAAATTAACTTTCTAAATTTGCTTATCCATCATGGCCCCAAAATGCTTGTGCTGGGAGCAAGCAGATGGGGCCTGCAGAAGAGCATCCATGCAGGCAGCACGCAGAAGCAGCTAGCCGCCAGGGCAGTGCCAGCAGGTCGCATGGGGTGGTCTTCAGTGCTGTTTTGGTATTGCAGCCAAGCAGCTGAAGGTCTGCAAGTGTGCAGGGGCCCGTGGGAAATGCTAAGACTCATTTCTGCCATTTCAGCAGGTCTTGGGTGCAAGTGCAGCAGTGAGGACCGCATGGGCCCAGGGGCTCTCATGCTGTTTTGCCGTTTTTGCTAAAGGCATGTTGAAACTGGTGGGTCCCCTCAAAATGAAGCTACATGGACTGTTGTGGGAGTCCTTGCTTCCCTGAGGCATTATCCCATGTCCCCACATCTGCCCCCCCCAAAACTGAGTGGGCCTGTAGCTGCTCTCCTTGCCAAGGTGGAAGATCACGTGTTCACAGAAACTTGTTGGGCCTGTGTTGTAAGGTGGACACTGACGGGACTGAGTCTGCTGGGCTGTGGGTCAGGGTTACTCAGGCCTCCTCCATGGAGCCCCCTGTCAATAAAGAAAGAGGCTAAAAATACATTCTCAGGCCATAGGGCTTTCTGGAGAACCAGGTCTACAAAGCTGGTCTAAGATGAGGCCAGCAGGAACCCTCAGAAGTGCAGCCCTGTGACAGCCATGTTTCCCGATGAGGTTAGGCCAGACAGCCATCTCCCTCTTCCCACTGGAGATATAGCCATGGCCACCACAGTCCCAGTCTCCCCAGGAGTAGGGGATGTTCCTGTTGGTGTCAGTTCCAGTTTTTCCCATCGACGCTTCCCCCCTTCCCCAAACCAAGATGCTTTCCTTCGGAGTGAGTCTCTGCCCTTGCTCACTACTGTCTCCTGTGTTGGCTCCAGGCAGTTTTGTGGCTACCTCGACACATTGGTGAAGGACATCCTGATGCCCAACCTGCAGTGGCGAGCGGGGAAGACCGCTGCAGCCATCCGCACGGCCGCCATGTCCTGCCTGTGGGCACTCACCAGCAGCGACATCCTGTCAGCCAAGCAGGTAGGGCAGCTCTGCCGCATCCTGGGCATTCAGGGCTTGGGCAGACATGCATCTGGGAATGTGCAGGCTGTGGAGGGAAGTAGACAGGCCTGTGCCTGGGTGGGTGGGAGGAGCAGGACAGAAGGCAGAGGTCTGGCTACCAGTCAGTATTACAGGTTTTGTCTCCTTGGATAAACTGGGGGCCTGGCAAGGATTTGGTCTCCTAGGTTTACTTTTTTTGAGACGAGGTCTCACTGTGTAGTCCAGGCTAGCTTTGAACTCACTGTGTAGCCCAGGCTGACCTCAGCCTTCTGAGTGCCGAGATTATAGGTTTGGACCACCACGCCCAGCCCTTAGGTTTACACATTGAATATTCTTTACAAAACTAAGAATTTAATCATAGGATTCACCAAGGTGGCCAGGCCTTGGCCTTCTGTGTTGGTTCTGTTTGTGTCTGGCCTGTGCAGGGAGTCAGAAAGCAGTAGAAACAGCTCCTGCCTTGAGCTTGTGCATCTTCAGTTGCCCAGCAGCTGGGGAAGCCTTTCGGCCAGGCCCTGCAGTGTGTGAGCGCCCCCTCCTGGCGCATGGAAGGGTTGTTGCTCCAAAGTGCTCCTGGACACCCATAGTGCACCACAGGAGGCAGAACTGGTCTTGCTAGGGGATTGGGAATCATGGATTACTAGAAATCCACCAACCGAGTTAAAACAAAAATTGTTCCAACTATCTAAAGATCCAGATTCTAGTCTACTTGGTACAGCTTTTACAGCAGCATTTCGTACTGCATTTTGCTCACGTCAGCTGGGCCCCTCTTTGCAGGTGGTCAGAGCAGACCTGCCAGCACCATCTCACATGCTTCTGGTTCCAGGTGCAGGATGTGCAGGATGCATTACTGCCTCGGGTCCTGGCCACCCTGGAAGAAGACATGCAGACCACCCGGCTGATCTCCTGTCGTATCATTAATATATTTTTAAAGACCTCTGGTGATGTTATGGACCCAGATAAATTCATCAAGGTTTATCCTGGTAGGAGATTTCTGTTTATCAAACCATGTGTATACATTTATATTCAAATGACTTCTTTGATAGCAAAAAAGACAGAAAATGTTAACATTTTGTCTTATGGTTATGTTGGTATTACGAGTCCAAACACAGCAATGACAGATAAAACATTAAACGAATAGCAGAACCCAGTGTGAGCGGTCTGGACCAGAGTTGGGGTGGGAGCAAAGCCCCATTGCACAGCAGCCCAAAGGGTGGCAGGAACCCCGACTCAGAGCAGGACTGTTGCCAGGCCCTGGTGTAAAAAGAAGGTCTTGGGTGAGGCTGCTCTCCCTGGCTTGCTGGAGCAGTTGCCTGCCCTGCAGCAGGGCCTGTGACAGAGAGGGAGGTTAGGGCTGTGCCCCCAGCTGGGGTCTCAGCCATCACTACCCAGTGTCTGCCATTTTGGAGCCTAAGCATCAGACAAATCCTAGCTAGGGCCAAGGCCAGGAGTGGGTGGAAACGAAGCATCAGTTAGAAGCCACCAAGAAAACAAATGCTGAGCTGAATAGCGAATGCAGAGAAGGAAAATCAGTCACTCAGGTGAGCTTTGGAACACAGCTGCCTGAAAACATAAGGAAACCCCAGCATCCTGAAGGAGAACAGATAAATGGACCAAGCACAGCAGCTCTGGAGAGGAGGGAAGCAACACATGACATTCTCTCTTCAGACCTCAAAAAACTGAAAAACAACTTCCATTAAAATAAGCTTGAAAAACCAAATGATAAACAGGAATAGAGAACAGACAAATGGATAAATGTAGGAAGATGCCTGGCAGTGACTCGGGAGTGATAGGCACTGACTCAAAGGGAGTTGCCCAAGGGACACATCTGGATGAGGCGGGAGGGGAAGACCTGCACATGTACCTCTTCATCGCTTAAAACTGGAATTACCTATACATCGAGTCTCCCACGGATGGTTTTCATGATTCCTGGAATGACCAACTCTGGAATTTACAAGCCAGTGTACGTGTAAATCTAAACATGGTTGAAGGCTGATATTAGTGAATTAAAAAGCTTCACTTCCCTAAAACATAGCTCCTCCAAAGAAGATGAAGGTGTAGAGGAGGTGAGGCATGAGCCTTGGTAAAGGAGGAGGAGGGGGCCAACATTGGAAAGGAGGGAGATACAGAATTGCCCAGGACTGGAAAGAGACGTAGACTCACAGATCCAATGTGTGGAACAAATGCTGGGCAAGAAGCTACTTCCCAAAGAAAGCAGAAGTCCAGGTCTAGGTGGATTTGGGGGTTTGTGGGGTGGGGATGTTTTTGTTTTTAGTCACAAACATTTTTTTCCTGCCCACAGTCTCTATGGCTCTGTTTCCAAATGAATTCGGCCAGAGTGAGTTGTTGGCTGCCAGGGTGAATTGGGACATTGTTTACTTGTCCTCAGTGGAAGCCAGTGAAAAGATGGCACATATTCGGGCATTTGTCCTGCAGCTTACAGCGAGTCCGTAAGAATCCCTCGTAGCTAGATTCCTGTACTTCTTGGTGCCAGTTCTGTGCTCTTGGAAGAGCCATCACCTTCTTGGCCAGAGAGGGGAAGATGAGCACAGCCACCTCTAGGGCCCCTGAGACCAACTGTAGTGACAGGGACAGCAGCATGGACCCAGCAGGAGGCTTCCAACCCATCAGAGTTGTGACTGCTCCTGAAAGCACTGTGCTACCACAGAGAGGACTTGAGGCAGCCTTTTCTGTCCAGAGTTGGAGTCAGTGTCACCATCATAAATTAATCCCAGCGGTGGCCTGGGTGCCCATGAACCTGGAGGAAGACATCTCAGCACTCTGATGTTTATGAGTTGGCTGACCTTGTGCAAGTTTTGACTCTGACTCAGTTCCTTTGTCCTGAGATATGAGTGTTGTTATGGTTGCTTGCTGTTGGAGACTTCGATGAGATCACACATGTGTTGCTCAGCGTGCAGCCCAAGGTGACTCCCTCCTTGATTTGTAGATGTGTACTCTTCGTGCCTTGTGCGGCCAGAGCCCAGTGCCCTTTGGAGCTCGTGGGTGTCTCTCCTGAGGTGATCTAGCAGATCCTGTTCGTCCCAATGCCCTGCCCTTTTGGTGGGACACCCTGAACTTTGGATGTTTAGGATGTTTTTTGTGCCATTCTGTAAGCCAGGAGCGGCTTGTTGAGAGTAGAATGTACCCTCCATACAGAACAGAGGATGAGCTCAACCTGTGTGTGCAGCTGGGAGGCGTCATGCCAGGCAGGGCAGCCCCCTATCCTTTCAGCGCTTAGCTCTTTCCATGGTCATTTATTCTCTGGAGAGGTGTACAAGTAGGTGCTGGAGGATTTTTTTTTTTTTTTTTTTTTTTTTGTGGTACCAGGGATCAAACTCGGGTCCTTGTGCTTGCAAGGCAGGTGGCAGAACCACTGAGCTAAATCCTCAGCCCTGCTGGAGGATTTTTTAAGACCATGTAGAAAGGCATAAGTTTGATACAAACCTTAGCTGAATGTGGTGGTACAGCCTATAATCCCAGCACTCTGGGTGTCTGAGGTCACAAATTCAAGGCCATCCTGAACAACTTAACAAGACTCTGTCTCAAAATTTTTTTAAAAAAAACTGGGGATGTAGCTTGGTGAGAAAACCCTGGGTTCAATCCCTAGTACAGGGAAAAAACTTAAAAACCTTACCAGTTAACTTTGAATGTCCTACCCATCAGGAAAGACTGTTCTACTGCAGTAGCAGCAAGGCCTGGTCACCAAGTCCCACAGAACAGACTGACAGCAATGAGACTGCTGCGGGAGTGGCCAGCTCCAGAGGCCTGTGTGTGACTGGCTTCTCAGAGCTAGGGGGCCCTGCCATCTCCCAGGTGAGGGCAGCGTGGGTCTGCTGAGCTAGCAGGGCAAGAGCACCTTGCCTGTGGGTGCCAGCTGTATGGCAGCTTTGAGGTATGGGTCTCCTGGGACTGAGGGCAGTGCTGCCCAAGAGAGAGGATTAGATCCATGAGTGGGTCTTTACAGGTGAGCTGTCTGCTCTGGAGCCTCTAACACCTGTCCGCCCCTCCCTCCAGAGCTCCTAAAGCGCCTAGATGATGTCTCCAATGACGTGCGGATAGCTGCCGCCTCCACCCTGCTCACCTGGCTAAGGTGCATCCAGAGCTCTGACGGCAAGTCATACTATCAAAGCAGCATCCAGTACCTGTACCGGGAGCTCCTCATTCACCTGGATGACCCTGAGAGTGCCATCCAGGATGCAGTCTTAGGTGAGCTTCCTGATGCCTTTGGCCCACATGTGAGAGCCATAGCCTCGGTCAGCCCATGCTGGGGGCTGTGGGGACCCCAGGGTGCTTTTGTCTTTGTGGTTCAAGCAGTGACACTTAACTGTGAAACAGATTTTCCAAAAGAAAATAATTACCAAGAAGAGTAGCACTGCTTTACATTTATGCTCATCCCTTTAATGTCTAGCTTAACAGAAGACAACTGTATTTCCACAGGTGCTTCTGCATTTTCTTGATCCTGGGACAAAATATCCAGCACCCTCAAGTTAAGGGAGAACAGGTTTATTTAGCTCACAGCTTGTAGAGGTTTCAGTCCATTATTGGCTGGCTTCTAGGCAGGGGAGCATGGCAGACAGGCATTGCAGAGGAGAAACAGTTCATAGTGGGCAGAAGGTAGCAAGGCAAGCAAGCAAGGGACCTTAGCAGCTTCTTTCTGCCCCTTTTATACTCTATCTAGGCTGTCAGGATTAGGGTGGAGCCAAACCAGTCAGTGGACTGATTTAGTAACAATGCACCCTTAATCCCAGCATCACACACTCCAGATCCAGCCACCTCTGAAAAAGCCCCACCTATGACCGCATGAGGCTTTGGGAGGACGTCTAGACACCAGCCATGACAGAATGCATATTGCTTTGGTTGAAATAAGTGAACAAGATGTGGTGCCACCTCTAGCTTCATATGCGGTTGAAGAAGTAGAGAATAGTTTTCAAGCCTCCTCACGTAACTGTGGTGGTGTTCTGATGCTGTGCCGGAGTGGACGGGTGGTGGTTTCCTAGAGGTTTCTGTTATGTACACTCTGAAACCACATCAGGAACCTTTTATGCTCCTTACATTAAAATCCGCTGGGCCAAGCCAGGAGTGGTGGTGCACACCTGTAATTTCAGCATTAAAGAGACTGAGACAGGAGGATCACAAGGTCTATCCCAGCCTGGGCTAAATAGTGAAAGACCGTCTTAAAAAAGAAAAAATCCATTGGTCCATCTCACATTTTGAGTGTAATAATGTCACTTTTGTGGTGTCTTAGGAAATAGTAACACACTGAATTACAAGTATCTTCCCAAGGGCCTGGGATTTAGCTCAGTGGTTCCGGCGCCTGCCGCACAAGTGCTAGGTCCCAAGTTCGATCCCTGGTACCAAAAACAAACAAAACCAACAAGTATCTTCCCAAAATAGATATGTTTCATTATGCAGTGTCCAAAAGTCACATTTGTGCTGGGCATGATAACACGTGCCTATAATTCCAGCACTCAGGAGGCTGAGGCAGGAGGCTCACAAGTTCAAGGGCAGCCTAGGCTACATAGAGAGTTCAAGACCAGCCTGAACTAAATACAAGATCCTGTCTCAAAACAAACCAAAAAAATCACATATGTTAGCACCGATCCCCAAAGAGTCTAGGCTTAATAAAGGTAGAGGCAAGTTTTCTATAATCCTAATATTTTGGTTGAAAGCTTGAATTTCGTCATTGGCCACAAATGGTGCCAGATGTTCTGTGGAGTAAGACACAGTTTGTTCCTTTTCTGCCAAATACCTGCATCTGGACAACCTGGGTTTGTCCATTTTCATCCATTAACCATTTTTTTGAGTGAACGTGATACTTCATGGAGGAGCTACGAGGTCATCTCCCAGCCCTGCTGCCGGCCTTGGCACCTGCCAGCAGCAGGTCCCTTCGTCATGCGCCTGGTGGCCGCAGTGTTAGGTGGCCAGGTGTTTGAGGCCAGGCTGTGGTGCCAGTGCCCCTTGTCCCACCGCCATGCAGCTGTGAGCACAGTGGCCAGGCAGGCTGTGCCGTCGGTATTATTATGGACAGATCCCAAAGGGCCCCAGGGACCCCCAGGAACCCTAGGAGCACACTTTGAGAACCACTGCCTTAGGTCACAGAGTCAGGGTGTCTGGGAGTGTGGCTGGGACTGACCAGGTGTCTGGACAACGGAAAGAAGCTGGGAATTAGAGACTGATAGGAAATAGCTTAAAACAAGAGTAGCAACTAATGCAGGGCTCGAAGGCTCTGACCTTCACTCCTCAGCAGTGTTCCCTTCCTCCCCCCACATCCTGTCCCTGCCCTGTGTCCCACAGCCCCTCAGTCCTGTCCCAACACACTTTTGTTATTTCTTCATCTTTAAAAAAATGAAACACAGGGCCAGGGATTTAGCTCAGGGGTGCCGCCACCTGCCTCAAAAGCGCAAGGGCCTGAGTTCGATCCCCGGTACCAAAAAACAAAACACACAAAGCCTTCATCCCTTCCCTTCTCTTGAGTGCTGCCCCCACCTCCCATGCTGAAAGCAGCGCTCACTCTCCACATGGCCTCCAGCGACTTCGCACTTTCCCTTGGGCACTACTGGCCACAGTGGCTGGTCAAGTACGCTCTCCTCTGGCTGCGGGATGTCTGATCCTGGGCCTCCTCATCTCTGTCTCGAGAGTACCTTCCTGTAGAGATCTCACCTCATGTCCAGAATTCCCCTGAGAGTCACACCTTGGCCAGGCCCCTGCCCCAACCCTGGACAAGCCTCCAGCTGCCCAGTGGACAAGGATGAAGGTCTGACAGGCATCACAGCCTTGCTCCCGGCCCTGTCTGCCCACTCTGCTCTGTCTCTGAAGCCTGGGTGGCTGTCGTTCTCCTCCTGACTGAGGGAGGAGCCCCAAGGGTCCTGCAAGGCCTGCTGCATCTACAGTTATTTCAGCCAGATGTGGTGGTGCATGCCTGTAATCCCAGCACTCAGGAGGCTGAGAGAGGAGAATTGCCACAGGTTCAAGGCCAGCCTGAACTGCATAGCAAGACCCTGTCTCCAAAAGAAGAATAAGTATTTCAAGTTCGTATAAACATGGTCATGTGTTTGTCCCTTCTAGTCTCGGCATTTCCTTGGCTGTACATTGAGGTTGTCTTGACTGAACTGGGTTTTAGTTCATCATATGTGATCACCACAGTACTGCGTGATGGGAGAGGTGGGGATCCAGAGAGCTGCACTCTCACCTCAGCTCTGGCCCTGACATCTGTCACCTTCAGGTGGCCTCAGGCTGTAAGATGAAGGGGTTGCGCTGCATGATTAAAATGACTTCTTTCTGCAGCCCTGCTCGGGTGTGTGGACTTAATGTCGCAGTATGTTTAAGTGGGCTGTCTGTCACCCTACCTCTGCTGTAAGGATTTGGGGAGAGTAGGACAGACATCTAAATGTGACAGTCACATTTCTAATAAGTACATTTCTGTTAATGTAAGTCTTAGAAAATTTCAGTGAAACTTCTGAAACCTGATTACATGTAAGTTTTCAGTAACTGCATTTAAAAAGAGGCTATTTGGGGCCAGGGATTCAGCTCAGTGGTTCCCCCACCTGCCCTGCAAGTGCAAGGACCCGAATTCAATCCCCGGTACCAAAAAAAAAAAAAAAGTCCATTTGTCCACTGAAAGGTTTCACAGTTGCTTTAAAGTACTTTTTAAAGTAGATAGTGCAGTGTGGACCAGCTATTAGCTGGAGGAGGAGGATTCTGTAGAAGGAGGTGAAACCCAAAAGGCCAGAGAGGCTGAGACCAAGTCAGGTCAGAGAGGGGCACAGAGGTGCCTTGGTTGTGCTTCCTGCATCCTTTGGTGCTTTGCTTAAGTACCCACTGCTGTGGTGGCTTAGTTCCTGAGAAGCAGATGGCCATCTACACAAACAAATGATTCTAAAACAGTTGAGCTGTCACCCGTGGCCCTGAGGCTGTGTGGGGGCGCCTGTCCCTTAAGCTGCTAGCTCTTTTAGTACCTGGGATCAAACTTGGGTCCTTGTGCTTGTGAGGCAGGCGTCAGAACCACTGAGCAAAAGCCCCAGCAAATATAGCTCCAGTGCATTCTTTTTTTTTTGGTATCAGGGACTGCTAGCTCTTTTAAGATCTTTCTGTCCATGTTGTGCCCAGAGTCCTAACCCAGCAGCATTGGGCTGCCTACCCTGCTCGTACAGATGGTCTGACCTGACACAGAGCTAATTTGCACATAACAGTAAGGCCCGCTCAGTGTCAGCTTCCAGCATTTTCAAGATGTTCCACTGTTTTGCAGAGGTGCTCAAAGAGGGCAGCATGCTGTTCCCAGATCTCCTGGTACGTGAGACCGAGGCTGTCGTTCACAAGCACCGCTCAGCCACCTACTGTGAGCAGCTCCTGCAGTACGTGCAGGCCACTGCAGCCGCACAGTGACCGTGTGCTGGCATCTAGCACCTCTGTGGCCTTGAACCTGCATCTTCAGAGCACCCTGTGCCAGCAGCTCAGATGCACACAGCACCAAGAATGCACCAGAGACACCACCTGCTGTTCACCCTCCCGACAGTGCTTCTGGCCAGCAGCAGCTGAATGACATCGATGTGAGTTCTGTATTTTTATGTCTTACTCAGAGAGGCCTCCCAATGTCTATAGTTCTGTTGAAGCTAAAACTAAATGTCAGCTGCCCACACAGTCAGCTAAATGAGCTGATTATTATTATTTTTTTAAGTCTCTTATGTACTTCTGGGTTCTATCTTGCTTAAATACCCTCCAAGAAAGTTAACTATTAAAAAAAAAGTGATTAAAAAAAGAAACTTCACCGTTCTTTGGGTTCTGTCTCAGACTACCAGGAATTTGAAGTCTTGACTCTTATCAGTGGAATCTTACCCATTTAAATACACTGGAACTTGTTACCTGGACATACATGGTTGTAGTATTTTTAAGTCAATAATGCTGACAGTATTGTGATAGAACATTCAGATCTCATTTTGGTTGCTTTCTTAGCAATAAAATAAGATTGTATTATATTCTCCAGCACATTCTATGCCTAAGTGCCTAAAAGATTGTAAGGAGGATATTGTTACCTTAAGCCAATATTTATATTAACACAGCAAGGAAAGGCTGTTATGTTTTCTGCTAACCTCATATTAACATTTGTGCTCTGGTGTTTGAAAATTTAATTAAATTATTCAAATTATTTTCCTATGTTTATGACTTTTGGTAATTAATTGACCTTTTTATTTTGTTTGATACTGGAGTTGGAACTGAGGACCTTGCGCTTGCGAGGCAGGCACCAGAACCACTGAGCTAAATCCCCGGCCCATTAATTGACTTTTTTTGGAAACAACTAATCTTTCCAGTTGTTCCAGCCTCAAGAATTCTGGGCCATGGGCCAGGGAGGTAGTTTAGGTGGACAAAGTGTGTGTTCAGCACACACAGGCCCTGTGTTCAGCTCCCAGCCCCTAGCACAAAATTTTAAAAAAGAATTCTGGGCCACGTGGGCTCTGTCCACTGTTGCTGGCTGTAATGTCCCCTCTGGCCACCAGGTGGCAGGCGCTCTGAACAGACCGGCCAAGTGGTCACCATGGCACCCTAGGGCTTACCTGGAAAAGGGAAGGGTGAAGGGGTGGAGGCGACCAGCCTTGGCAAGGCACTGCCCCTGCACCATAGCCCAGTTGACTGTAGCCCCCAGACATTGACATCACCTCTGCCCCTTCCCCGGCTCTGCTGTCCTGACTGCCCTCAAGCCCAGGACCTGTCATCAGTGGCCGCAGAGATTCAGGAAGCCCTCAGAGAGGACCTTCCCGTACCCTCCTGCCTTCCACCCTTTGTGTCCCCTGCCATCTCCTTGAAGGACCCTTAAGACCCACCCACTCAAAGCCCACCCCTTGACAGAACCATTGGTGCTGGCATCTTTACCTGGAAACTTGTTAGAGATGAAGTTATGGGCCTTAGCCCAGCCTGGTGAGTCAGCCTGGGAGGCACCCCGGAGGGCCCTGCCTGCCCCACATGTAAGCACTCATAGACACCACCAGCTTCATCTCCATCACAAGGACCGAAAGTAAACGGCTGAGACCTTGGCTGAGCAGCCAAGCATACAGGGTTGGCGCAGCTGCAGTGATGGTGTAGGAAGGACCAGTAGTGCCGTTTGGTCTCCGTTCATCTCCAGAGGAGCTGCTGAGAGACGCCACTGTCATGGTCAGCAGAGCTGGCTTGAGATCAGCGGGTGTGTTCAGAGAAGGACTCAAGCACAGTATGGTGGCCCACACCTATAATCCCAGCACTCAGGAGGCTGAGGCCGGAGGATTGCCACAAGTTCAAGGCCAGCCTGAACCATATATCTAGACCCTATCTCAGAAAACAAAAAAGAGAGAGAGAGACTCAACCCCAGCCACACCTAAGAAGAGTGTTAACTCTGTGAAATTCCTGGAAATGTATGCAGTTCAGTCAGCAAATATTTACAGAGCCCTCTATGCCAGGCACCAGGTAGTGAAGGATCAGTGCACCCCCTGAAGTCGACCTTAGCAGCATTATTGAGGTACAGTCTGGGTTTTTTTAATCAATATTTTATTTTGTCTAATACACCTAAAATATTACCAACATATAATACAAAAGCATTATTAATCTGATATTTTACATTCTTTTTTGTTCTAAGTCATCAAAATTTGGTGTAACAACTTGGACTAGCTACATTTCAAGTATTCAAAAGCCACATGTAGCTAATAACTAGCATATTGGACAGAGCTAAACATAGTTTTTCTGAAACTGAAAGAAATCCTATGTGCGCAATGCACAAAGAGAGAGAACAAGAGAGGCCTGGGATGCAGCTGCAAGACAGGCAGCAACAGTTCACACAGGCCCGCTGCACTTGGGGAGGAGTCTGGATTTTGTCCTAACTGCATTAGGTCGCTTCCTGCAGAAAGCCTTTCCTGATGTTCCAGAAAGAGTTGACCACTCGGTCCTCATCCTACCATGGATTTTCGATGTGAAACCTAGGGTGGCACCTAGGAGACTTTATTGCATTTTTAGCATTCAGATACGGCTGAGCTCTCAAGGGCAGGGTTTGTGTCTTTATTCACCAGGGCCTGGCCCATCTCTTACTGTATAGTGGATACCCCATGTTTATTGGAGTTGGTAATTGATTTCCTGACCTCCCTCCCCTGTCACCCACGGTGGCTTATTTTCTTGAGCATCTGACTTCCTCTGTCTTCTTTCTTCTTCCTTCTCCTCCTTCGTCCTCTTCCTTTTCCCCTTCTCGTCCTTCTCCTTTCTTTTCCTCCTCCTCCTCTTCCTTTTTCTCCCCTTCTCCTTTTTCTTCTCTTCCTCCCCCTTCTCCTTCAGAAAGCATATGCAGATTTATTAAGCAGAATCAAAGAAGTACGCACTCAGAAAGGAGTGTGGCTGTTCAAGAGTGAGCCCTGAATTCTTCAACTATGACCTCCTTTCTGTTTCAGATTAGCCTGTCCCCTAAAGCAATGGTTTCAAAGTGTGACTCGGGCTGGCACTCAGCACCATCTGGGAATCCAGTAGAAATGCAGACTCTAGAGCCCTGACCTTAGAGCCACTGAATGAGAAACTGAGGGTGAGGCCCGAAAGCTGGCACTAATAAGCCCTCCACATGACTGATAGGCACTGTGAGTGAGACCCACTGCTCTACAGAGAGAATCTGTCCCATACGGGGCCTGGTGGTGCTACTGACCGAAGCCACTCCAGCTCATTGGCCCCACTTAACCTAGGAGGAGCAGGTTTAGCTCCTGATGGTGCTGCTGGCTGAGGACTGTTCTCTGGCTGTAGTGTGAGTATCACTGCACTCAGGGCAATGTTGCCTTTAGTGTTGCTGTTGTTCACTGCTTTCTACTCTAGCTTCAGCTCACGATAACTTTTGGGGGGATGAGAGGCAAGCTTAAAGGTGCTATCTTCAGAGACTTCTGTAATTTATAGTGAGTCCTAAAACTGCACTGAAAAGTCAGTTTGACCCAGAATCTAGCTGTTTCCTATGGAAAGGCCTACCATGTGGCCAGAAAGAACAACTCTGGAGAAACGGATTTCAGTGTCTGCCTGCGCCCCTACTCGTGAAGGTGAAAGCATGGTCTTCAAGCTGCCCCTTCTAACCCAACCTTCTAGACCTCCCAGGCCTGAGGCCTCAGTGTCCCATAGGCGCCCCCACAGCAAAGATTTGCTCTTCCTCCTACCGGCAGCTGTAGGGACACAACAGGCTCTGGAAGTGAGCCCACACCTGGGCCCTCTGGTCTGGGGGGCTCAGCTCCTTTCAGATGAGATGGCCGTCCATAGTAACTAGTCCAGAGTGCACCTCAAACAGATACATGAGCACGCACAGCTTTCACCAGAAGTCCCCCTCACTCAGTGTGGTCTCTATTGATGGCGATGAACAGGCGTTCTCCAAACAAGTGAAGGACATACAGGTTGTTGCTATTTTCCGTGGAGAAGCAGTTGAGAGCTTCTCTCTTCATCTTCCTCATCTGCCCAGAAGAAGAGGATTTCTGCACCCTCCATAGCCACCAAGATGCATTTCATCTTGGCAAGTAGCACATCAGAGCTTCAGGCAGCCAAGGCTCAGAAGAGGAAGCCATAGCCAGACTCAGGGACCAACTCATGGAACCACAGCATGGCATCCTCAGTCCAAATCTCGGCCCACATCGCCTGGCTGCAGCTCTGCTGCAGGTGCACTTCCAGGGTCCCAGGTATAGTTTATAGACTGTAAAATTCTCCTTGTTCCAAGTGGACAGTTCAGGGCGTTTTAGTAAATTTATAGTTGTTCAACCATCACCACAGCCATTTCAGGTCCTTCCATCACCCCTCAGCTTCCCTGAGCCAATTTTCCAGCAGTCTTCACTTGATCTCTAGCCCTAGGAAACTGCCAATCTGCTCTTGGCCTCTGGTTTCACCTTCTCTAGTATTTCATATGTCAAGGGAATCACGCAATGTGTGGCCTTATGTGTCTGCCTTTTTTCACTGGACAGAGTTTTTGAGATTGGTTTCCACTCCCTAGGCCAGGAGGTCAGGGATCTGTCTCTGTAAGAGCCCAAGAGTCGATATTTTAGGCTTTGTGGACCACACAGTCTGTCCCAAGTACTCAGCTCCCCAGGAACCCACTCTCCTGCTGGTGGATGTTAGGTTGGGGCTATTATTAATAAAACTCTGAACTTTGTGTCTGTCTTGATGTGAGCATGTTTCCATTGCTCTTGGATGGATACCACAGATTGTGAGGTCATAACTGGTAAGCGTAGTCCCTGGGTGCCTGATTCTCTTTTTAATTGCTTTATTGACCTATAACTGCACATATTTGAAGCAAGCAATTTAATGAGCTTAGACCTAAGTGTACACCCATGAAACCAGTACCGTGGTCAAGGCAGTGAACTTCTCAATGACATCAGGCCCTTTATAGTCTCACCTTACCTCCGCTATGTCCCTGCTCTCCAGGTATTACCATCTACTTTTAGTCACAGGCAATTGCATTTTTTAGAATTGTGTGTAAATAGATTTACATGTTTTCTTTACCTTGCTTCTTCAGCATAATTATTTTGGAACCTGACTATGCTGTGGTGTCCATCAATAGTTCATTCTTTTTCATTGCTGAATAATATTCTATTATATAGACAGACCACAACATATCTATCCACTCAGCTGCTGATTTATGTTTGAGCTGGTTCTAAGTTTTGGATATTACCAAACAAACAAAAAACTCTTTAGATTTTTGTATGATTCCTTGTATGGCTAAACACTTTCATTTGACTGAGATAAACATCTAGGAATAGAATGGCAGAGATAGTAGAAGTATACCCAAGTTTTACTTCAGAAACTGCCAAACTAAAACTACTTTCTAAAATAATTGTATCATTTTATATTTCTTCCAGCAGAGTGTGAGAGTTCCATTTCCTTCTATTTTTTACTAACACTTGCTAGGTCAGTTTTTAATTTTATCCATTCTAATAGGTGTGTAATATCTCATTGTGGTTTTAATTTGCATTTCCCTAATGCCTAATGGTGTTGAGCATCTTTCCATGTGTGTATTTTCTGTGTATTTTGTTATTTATGAATCATCTTTTATTGTGGTATCCTTCCCGTTATTTAAAAGCTGGGTTGTTTTGTTGAATATTGAGAATTCCCCATATATTCTGGATACAAGTCTGTGACCGTTAATCATGGATGTCAGCTTGATTAGGTTAAGAAATACCTAGTGGGTT